CCTCCGCAACGCCTGGAACATTATCCAAGCTGAGGTGTGTGTGGATGAGTGCAGGTGTGATAAATACGGTTATCAGTGACAGTAATGGCAGGTCACTGTGAGTTCAGCTGGTTGATTGTGTCACATCTTATCCGCAGCTGCTCTCCACAGAATAATGGAAGATAACTCATGAAGCCCTCCAGTGTTGAACAATATGCAGGCATCTGCAGAAATGTTCTTTGCTTGGTGTGTAAATGATGAATCTGAATATTCACTCTGTCTCTCAGTGCACCTTTTGCTTTAATTACAGCCTTTAGTCTGTTGGGATTTGTCTGTGCTAACTTTGCACATCTAGACTTTGCAATATTTTTTTAAGTTTTTATGAATGAACTATTAGCTTTTAATTAAATTATGAACCCTGTTCAGTTCCCTCCCAAACCCCAGTTTAGAAAACCTTGTTTATGATTGTTTATCTTTTCTTTTCGGTGTGTAAATGATGAATCTGAATATTCACTCTGTCTCTCAGTGGCAGTGTTGTGGGGTAACTGGCCACACAGACTGGCATGATGCCCTGCAGGAGAAAACAGTTCCAGACAGATGCTGCCAGGAACACTACAGAGAGTGCGGTCACAATGCCACTAACGTCTTCTGGTCACAGGTATGGCCTTTATTATTTTATTTTATTATTTAATTTATTCTCTGATGTAAATGTTATTTTATTTTAATAGTTTCTCAAATGTAAATTTTATTTAAGTTTCTCTGATTTGTATTGTATTGTATTTTATTTTATTTTAATAGTTTCTCTAATTTAAATTTATTTTAAATAGTTTCTTTGCTTTTATTGTATTATTATTTGATCAGTTTCTTTGGTGTAATTTAATTTAATTGATTAATAATTTAACACTGATAAGTTTAATTTGGAAACATGTTTTGATTATTTTAAACTATATTATACTGTATTTAGATAATACAGAAAATAGAAAAAGTAGTTAATACAGAATTATTTCGTTAAACACTACAATGTTTTTGACTCAGTTGTAGAAATTAGATTTTTCTCTTTTTGTTAGCTAGTGTTAGTAGTTCGAAGTAATTTAGAAATTTACCGGGGCAAGTTGCCATAAATACTCTGTGATCGTCCAGTTTGATAATATAACTGTATTTCCTGCTTAAATAGCTTTCATTTAGTTAGCTACTCTTTGTTATTAGCTGATACGGTAACGAACTACTATTATTAATATGGTGCACATTGTAAAGTTTCTGATTTTATAAAGAGTTTCAAAATAGCCTCCCCAACTTTACTCATAATGTTACTGCACACTTCTGTGGGCCAACACACTTTTCTTTCTGACTCTTAGGGTTGCTATGAGAAGGTTGAGGAATGGCTGAACGACAACAAACATTTGCTCGGAACCATCGCGATGTGTGTGCTGGTCTTACAGGTACAAACATTATGATTAGACTCATCCTGGAGTGTTTTGGAAAATAGCTGTGCCTCCAATGATGTCACATCCTGTTTGATGCACACCCATGCTGATGCCGCCATCTCTGTTCTGCAGCTGCTCGGGATGGCGTTCTCCATGACCTTGTACCAGCAAATCCACAGGGCGGGAAAAAAGTATGATGCCTAGAGGAAACCCAGTGTTACACTACAAAAAACTCTCAGAATACCTAATGTATTGTTTCAAGCCCCGCTTCATGCCGTCACAAACTATTACCAGTGAAAATGAAGCTGTATTTTTTTTCTATCAGATTTAATTATGTAGAACAGAGTGTAGATATTTTTGCTTGGCTGCTGAGAGGCTAATTTTTTTGGGCCTGAGGGCTAACAGCAACTGTAAGATGAAAACTAAGGAAGGGAATACATTGTGAGAAGCAGTTATGGATGCAGCTGTTAAGCCAAACAGTCTTGGAAATAGTCTGATAATATATGAACTGTACAAAAAAAAAGCCCACATCATGTAAAATCGGATATCTGCAACGCTCGTAAGAGGATACATTCACTATTTCTTTATTGGACACTTGTGTACACGTAGGCGCCGTTCCCTTTGCTGATGTAATATATCAATCGCATGCTGTATATATTTCACATTCACATAAGAGTACTGTACAATTGCACACAAACAATCCTTTATCTGATGACTTAATTGTTAGGGAGAGTGGGGTAAGACATGTCACCCTATTAATCTACCAAAAATGCATTTTTATTATCAGATATTCAGACAGGCTCTAAATGTATTTGTTATATAAAATATAATATATATATATATATA